AGACAAAACTGTGTGAACTGGAGGTTAAAAAACTGTGAGCTAGCTCACCCTAACTCAGCTTACAGGGAACACTGTTCCTGATATTCTTTCGGGGTAACCATCTTGTTCTTCCTAATAATAATGGCTTGCTTCCATTATGTTCATAAAAGTAGCACAATAGTGCCACCAACAGACAAGGTTGGGATTTTTACTTGGTAACCCCAGATAAGCAGAAAGTAGGACTGTAAAATTAACAAAATAAGAGAGAAGGAAATTCTAAAAAACAACCTGATGGGGACTGCCTATGCCACAGAAAACCAAGAATGCTGAAGGCAGTTGAAAGTCAGAATGAAATAAGGTGGGACGATAAATCAGCCTACTCAACTCCATGGAAGGGAAGATTTTGGAGTCTGTGTGGGGAGAATTTCCGAACTAATTCCACCTTGCGGTTTCTTTCAGGCCCCAGCTTGTTGTAGTCATTGGCTTTTATCCTAAGGTTCCATTCCAACAGCACAGCAGCAGAGTCTCTGATGGAACAGCTTTTCTGTCTGCAAAGATGGGAATGGACATTTTTGCTGATTCAACCTTCTGCTGCAGATTCCCAACTTGCAACCAGGGCTGGTATCAGCATACCCTGAGCTGGGGCAGCTGCCAGGCCCCTGGGCTTCTGTAACCCCACCCACTCATTTGCTAGTGCTCCATCACCCATGCTCCCAGGTGCTCTCATTACTAGTGCCATTGGGGAAGGGGGCTACAGGCAGTGCAGGTGGCTGTGAGCATTGGTGGTGGGAAGGCTAACAAGTGGGCAGGGGAAAGACACAAAGACACGTGGAAGGATGGGTGGGAAATGTAGTGTATTCAAAGCTGCCTTGAATGCATGATATGTTGTGAAACATCTAATTGAAGTATAACGTAAAGCTTCGTCCTGGGCTAGGATCCAAATCCATCCAATCGTGTTACTAGCCCAGGAAGCACCTAACCAATCACTTTCAAGCAAGCTCCCTGAGCGGGAACATCCGTGATTGGTCCTTATGTGAACAACCTTATTGGTTGGTATTTGTACAGTGGGTGTGGCTACATTAGCCGGGAATGTTTAAAAGCAGGACAGCTGCAATGTAAAGGCTGTTCTGGCTATCAGATGTTGATCCGTGTTGGAGTTGTGTTCGAGTTGAAGAATAAAGTTGTGTTCTTGCTGAATCACTCTCCGACTGCTTTGTTAAGAGAGCGACTTAACAGGAAAGATGGAGGGTGTGAGAAGAGGGCTTGAGGAGTGAGAAGAGAGGAAGGTAGGGAGCACTTAGGAACTCTGTACCCAGCCCCCCCCCCCAAAGGAACCTGGAACTGGCTTTGCTTCCAACCCACACTGTTCCTTTGGGTCCACTGTTCTACAGGAGCACAATTTGGGGAGCACAGCAGGTTGCGGGTGGTGGTGGGGAGAAAGTTGCCTTCCACTGATGGCACTCCACTGTTAAGGATCCAAGCCATTGTTCTGTTTGTTCATAAACAATAAACTGGATCCAAATGTACCCTTGCACAATCTCAATTTCTGCAAGCTTCCCCCTTGAGCCGCGGCCACCTTCCCTTTTCTTTTCAATAAAGTGTTTTCATTAAAGACAGCTGAAATGTGCCCTGTTTGAATACAAAAAGGATGAAATACAAATGGTGATTCCTCTGTATCCTTTTTTAGAACTGATTAACGTGTCTACTTGCAGACTAATTTTAACCTTTGTTTTGCAAAGCTAGTGTACTGACACCTAATCTGTGATAGCAATATTAGCAGTAACCAGTGAAATCAGTGGGCTTAAAAGGGTGTAAATCTGTTTAGAATGGCAATGTAAGTTTCCTATATCAAGCCAAAACTAACGTTTTTAATTTGCTTTAAAATATCTGCAGGACACAGGGGATCTTCTCTTAAGATAAGGGATGTGACTAGGAGTGTGGGACTATGAAAGCCTGGCTCCATCAAGGATATTTCTCTGAATTTCAGCTCTCTCTCTTTTTTTAGAGCAGCCCTATAACTTTTTAACATTCAGAGGTGTAAGACAGAAATGAACAGGCAATATTTTACTGAGTTTCTCAGTAAGAAGTAAACTTGCTCCCGGCATTCCAGCAAAGGTACAAAAAATGGATGACCAGCACTTTGTAATTTTTTTTAAATTGTAAACTTTAGATGAACATCTAATTGCATTAACTAAAAGTCATATTTCATACAACTTGCAATGTTTTTCCAGAATACCCACAGGGCTCACCATCACAATAAATATCCTTGAGAAAAGACATCTGGATCATATGTGAGAACTGTATAACAACTCTGCCATGATTGCACTGAACAGATTGTCCATGGAGACTCTTATTAGGAAGCAAGGTTCTGTCACCCCTGGACTAATATGGAAGAGTATGAAGTCAAAACCAAGTGGGGGGGAAAACTGCAGAATTATACAGTAAAACCCAGGGCCAGATTTACATATAGGTAAAATAAACCTCCTTACCAACATCTTTGAAGGATATTTACTTACCTTACTTGCTTGTTCTGCAAAGCAGAGCCAGTCTAGAACTTACATAGATTTTTAATGGCTCTTCAAAAGTACCCACCAGCTCAACAGGGTGGAGCACCCGTATACTAAATGTTTGAGGCAATAGGCAAAAGAGCAGGTCCCTCATAGACCCCACAGTGAAGGTTCTGGGGCTGAAAAAGATTCTCCCAGCACCACACTTTGACCCTCATCATTTCCCTTGGGACAAGCTTTATACAAAACTGTTAATAAAGCGGAGTTCATTCCAAACTGAAGCTGAAATCTTTACCTATATACTATTAGCCACCTGTGGCCCCCATCTATGGATAGTTAAATCCACAGATTGGGGCCACACAGAGCCTAAACAGATCTTTCTTCGAATGTGGGACACTCCCCAATTTTTCAGAAAAATTTGAAAAAAAAATTAAAAAATACACAGGGTGGTGAAATGCTCCCCAAATCCATATGCGTTATCAACACAAGTGCAGGAAATGCTTTCATCCAATCACAATGGAGCCACTCCAGACCAACCCAGCAGCAAATGCCAGCAGCCATACGAGGCCTGGCCTCAGCATCCAACGACACTCAGCCACAGCAGTGGAGGGTGCAGAGGCAGCCACAGCAGCCCAGCTGTAGCAAGAGAAGGCACTGGCAGCCACACCAGGGCTGGTCATGTTGGTGGAGGATGCTGGCAGCCATGCTGCACTCTGCAGCAGAGAAGGATGTTGGCAGTCGCACTAGCGGGGAAGGAGACTGCCAGCTGTGCCAGGGCCGGCAGCAGCAGAGGATGCTGGGCTGATTAACAGACAGTAAAGCCTGGAGCCACACCAGGCTTTGTGCTGGGGGGCCCGGTGGAATATGGGATTTCCCTGAGTCTCCTGCCCCCCCAAGCCATAAGGTATAGGGAGTCAGCAGTGATGGGGACAGGGATTTCTCCACCTCATGAGTATTGTGGGTCCCCACTTAAATCAATATATTTACCAGCATGGCCTGATCTGTGGATACTTCTCTCCAGAGACTGGAGCGATGAACAGATAAACCGGATCTGTCTACAGACCCGAAAAACACCCCTGGTTTCCAGAAAAATCTGAAATAAAACAGAAAAATACTGCAGGGTTAACCCCCCCCCCAACTAATAGAAGCAGTATCTATAGGTTTAAGAAATAAATGACCTCAATGGATGTTGCTAAACAACCCCAACAATATTGCTAGCCTATAAACCTTGGTTTCTGTCAGCACAAGGCACGGGAAGTGGGGCAGAGCCCTTTCTGGGGCTGTTCTGGCCTTTGAGAAAGAACTAATTGGGGCCAGGCCTGGCAGCAACCACAAGGCAATTACTACCATGCAACTTACTTGACCCACCCAGGCCAGGCTGCTTGCTACTGTCCAACAGCAAGCATGCCACAAAGGTGGTTTCAGACTAAGATCTGGGAGTCCCAAATTAAAATCCCATTCTGCTGTGGAAGCTCACTGGGTGACCTTGGGCCAGTCACACACACTCAGACTAACCTACCTCACATGGTTGTTGTGAGGATAGGTTAAGAGGAGTAAAAATCTACTGCTGAGTGCTGATCCCCAAAGACATTATATATAAAATGGCAAAACAGAGTAAGTCATAAAAACTAATTGTAGATTATGTGTATGCATACCTTATTTTTCTATGAGACCTCCACATGAAACAAAAGGAAGTCTTTGAAATAAAAAAAATCCTGTATAGCTTGGTAATAATATTCTCTACTTGGAGATCATGGTGTCACTCAGACAACATGCTGAACTGTGGTTTATATTTTATTACAGTCTGAATGCTGGGTGACTCCAATTTGGTAAAAGGTCCATGAACAGAGATCTTAAACTAGAGTTACACATCATCTTCTGAATCCTGGCTTGTAATAACTCTGGTTAGTCATTATGTCTGAATGAAAGAAACTTGGCTTAATCCCAATTTGGTCAATAGCACCACCCTCTGGGCACAGAGTCATGACTGGAGAGTGACCAAAAACCCACAAAACCTTGCAGTAGTCCATTTTTTAATGTTTATTAAGGTCAAGTATAACTTATAACATGTACAATAACTGCAAAACAGTATACAAAAATCCCGAGAGTCCAAAATTACAAACCAGCCAGTTAATCACTCACTGTCAGCTGACAACCAGGATTTCCAGGTAGACTCTGTTTAGTTTCAATTGGCTCTACAGAAACCATGGTTAGTTCAACAAACATGGTTAATCATAATGACAACAGCGCCTGAGTGTGCTATTTGTGTTACTACATGGCATTTAACACACAAAAAAAATTAACACAAAAAATTCTCATTAATCTGGGTGCCCAGCTCATAATTTTTTCAATTCTTACAATATATTGTTTATTAGGATGTTTCACTTAAGTAAAAGTCATATTTGGCACTTCTTTTAAGCTGTCTTATTGAAGGCACTATCGATCTTAGTTAAATTGCTCTGCATCACATTCTTTAAACCACCAGTTATACTGGCAAAGAGAAAAGGAGCTGAGGAGAGGGTTTCCAGTGTCTTCAAGTATTTAGTGGGGAAATTGCAATGATCCATCATGCCTCACAGCCATGTCTTTGAGGCACACACAGGGAACAAAGTGATGCTGATGAGAATGGATCAGTCCCTCTAAGCGAGTAATTATTTCGTAGTCAGGAAGAGCAACAGTAGCAATATTGAGGCCCAACATTTGAGAGACCACTTCTCTGAAGTCTGACAGCTGTAACAGAAAAGCAGGAAGGGGAAAAAAAGACACTTTCATAAATTGAGCATATACTCATTTAGATGCACATCAGCCTTTGCAAAGTGCTGAGAAAACTACAACTGGTACCAAATATGGCACCCAGACTATTAACTGTGCGATTCTCAAGGGTTAATGTAATTATTAGCTGGCCTGCTCTGGCTTGCAGGTGTTCATAACTGGGCCTTCCTGCTAACTGTATCCTTATCTCGTTCAAGGCCAGACTCAAGAATGTGCTAATTGGTTAATCATGAGAACCTGTGTTCAGCTGTGCAACTGGATGGGAGGGGGAAGCAGGAGTGGATGTCATCTTTTGGAGAGTTCCATCAAACGAGCTCCCTGATTGGGTTTGGGAAACCACCTGGTGCCAGATGGCAAAAGACTATAATTAGGCCATAGGCCAGAGGGAAGCCATGCTAACTTTATTATTTTGCCATGCTCTTGCTATATTATGCTACATTGCAATGGACACTGCATAGAGAATGCTTAAGCCTCTAGCTTGAACTCTTGTATTCTAAGGTGTGCCATCTAATACCAGGTATTGAATGTATTAGATAGAAATCTAGCTTTGTTATTTTCCTCACTACTAAGCAGTGGAGATTGTGCCGCATAGTAATATTTTGTCTTTTTAAAAGTCTATTCAACAAACCTTTATACATTTTAAAAAGGTCTGCTTTATTTATGTGCATTTAACCTCAAGGACTCACAGGGCTGGGTGCTGCTCACTTGCAAAAGGAGTGGTGACCAAGAGAGACCCAGGCTTGGGTTCATGACAAACTGGGAACTGTTTTTCTGATCATGATGTGTATTGTAGCATTTTCCTCTGTGTCTTCCAGCTGGTTTTTGAGTCCAATTCAAAGTGCTGCTTCTGACCTTTAACCACCTACACGCAGGGCCAGCTCACCCGCTTGGCAAATTAGGCATTCGCCTAGAGTGTGGACCGGCACTTAGGGGCACCAAACAGGACCCGGCCTCACCCACTCGCCCGTCGGGCAGCCTGCTCAGATTCGCATTTGTTTGCATTCAAAAAAAGCCTCCCCCCAATGCCTCCACGCTCGGCCAAGGAGGACTAGCAACAGCCACACGCGGCCGCGAGGGGGCCAGGCGGGAGGAGCGAAGCTTCCCAGGCACCCACTTTGGGCCGAGCCAGCCAACCAATGGTGAGCGCCGGGCAGGCATGCAGAGGAGGAGGTGGCCAATCCGCCCGGGGCCGCAGAGCGCAACTGAAATTGGTGCCGCCGCTGAGTCTGTTTGGGGTTCAGAGAGTGGCCCAGAAAAAGCAGCGTGGCCGGGGGGAAGGGGAGGAATGGCAGTGGCTTTGCCGCTGCCCACCCAGCTGGAGAGGAGAAGCCCGTCAGGGGAGGGAAGTAGCCAGCACTGCCCAGTTTCTGCGTCACATGGCCTGTTTGAATGCAGACGCGGCTGCGGAGCCCAGGTGGGGGTGGAACGACTCCTCACTCCGAGTCACGGTGCTGCCCCCCCCACCTGGGGAGCCGAGAACAAGCACCTGCTGTTCTCGAGGGGACAGATTGGTGCTTGCCAGTGGGCCAGATCACCGAGGGTGCACGTGGTGGCAGCGGGGGGGGGGAGAGGTGGCAGCGGCAAAAGGGAGGTCTCCAGGCCACACTGGGAGGTTGGCACCCGCGCCCTGCCTAGGGCGCAGAAACACCTCAGGCCGGCCCTGCCTACACGATTTGGGGCCTGATTCTAAACCAGGCTACACTTTGGATAATGTGTTTACTGGAACATGCCTGACAATTATCCAGCAGTTCCCTACAATATAAAGTGTATCCTCATGGTTCCTGAACGTGGCTAAGCTGCACCCAGTCAATTTTAAATGAACTGATGTCAGGAACCTGAACTTTATTTTCTGATATTGATACTGATATATATTAAGGCCATTTCAAAATGTCACATATTATTCTTAAATGTCAGGAGTCTTTTCATAAAGCCAATCAGTCTCATATAAGGTCCTCCTGTCTAGGTAATTTATTAACATAATGATTTCCTTAGTGCTTTACTCATTGTATTCCCAGCCCAGCAGCGCCACTACAGTACCCTAGTTGTCACGGAGGGAAGGGATCTTTTTTTGCATGGAGACAGTGGTGCTCATGTTTTCTTTCTCCTTTTGTAAAGTCAAGGGAGGTATGCACTGCTGCACTGATGAAGGTAACAGACTTCAAAGAATTAATATTTAACAAACAGTTTAAACCTAGAAATTTCACAAAAAGATGCAACATTGCCATTGGAAGAAGAACCATCCTTGCTTGTGTTTGTTTCCCTTATTGTTTAAAGATATATAAAGGCTATACATGTACTCCATGGTTAAGTAATTTAAGAGATTTAAAAAGAATTAACTTAGCAAACGGCTGTGAAGAAATGCATTTTTTCTTTGGAGGTTTGAAATCAGCAAAACCTTCACTCTGAGTTTTAAAATCCCTCCTCCGGGACAGAGAACAGGCAGGAAGGGAGGAAATCAGTTCAGTTGCTTTCCAGAATTACCTCAGCCCACCTTCATACAAATGCTAATAGGTCTAGACAAGGGGATGGTCAGGGTCCGTCCCCCCCCCCAAGCTGGGAACTGAGATTTGCAGGAATTAAATACTAAAGAGACATTAGGAAGGAAATTTCTGGAAACTTCAAGAAAAGCTTCTCTGACCTGGCCTAACTGGGTCAGTGGGAGGGGAAAGGGAGATGATAAAAATTCCTTGCAGCAAGGAAAGGATCTTTCTTGTGCTGGGTCCTTCAGAGCAGACAGAACTCTTAACCGAGGTCTGGAGGAGGCAGCCATTTAACCATATGCTGTCCTGGAGAGCTGGAAAAAGCCTCAAGGTAATGGTAACTCTATAGAGATCTGCAATTTCCTGAGCTAAGGAGCCTGTCCTATATTTTAACATCTGATAGGGCATGTATAGAGAGAGGGACAGAGGATTCACATTTTACCTATTTCTTCTGAATTCCTTGCTCAATCTTTTCTTTTAAATAAATACTTTATAATTTTTGATGCTGGTAGTGGTCCTCTGTACTACATAGACCACCAGCTTGGGCATGCACTTTTAAAAGGTGTGCCAGGGGGGAGGCAAGCAGTTGGCAAGTGGCCATTCCTCCAAGGGCATATGAGGCAGTAAACTTCCCCCCATGGTGACCAGGTGCTGGGCAACAGGAGACACAGAGGCAAGGCCTCAGAACTTGGAAGGGAAGCTGAGAGTCCTGACCCTCCCAGCGGGCAATTCCTTACAAAGGTCAGGTGGTGGTGGCAGGTTACCTAGGAGAGAGGGCAAGGTGGAATAGAGCCTGCAGAGTGAAGTGGGCCTATTCCATCACAGAGGCCATGGAGGGAAGTTCTGTAGCTCATCATCAGTGCAATCCCAGACACTATCCAATAGGTATCTGCAACACTCATGCAACTACAGTCTTCAAAACATTTGCAATTGCCAAGTGGACTGGGAAGTTAAAATGGTTTAAGAGCAAGCCAGGATGAGTGGTCCCTGTGGAACTACAAGCCAACACTACAGGAGGCACTTAGCTCAGACCTGGCTATGGTACAAGATAAGGAGACCCAGCTGAGCTCTGAGCAGGAGCAGGAGAGAGAGCTGCTAGAGGGGTGAGTGGTTTTTTTTTTACTTGCTTTCAGCTGAGAGGATTCAGCTGAGGCTATTGTGTGGGAAAACTGTGTTTAGCAGTGTGTGGAAGCACTTAGAGTGCTTGCAAAGTCCTGGCTGATTGAGAGAGGAAGGGGCATTGTTTGACTGGGATTGACTGTAATTGAGAGGAAGTGGAAGGGGCATTGTTTTGCCTGTGATTGAGTGCCTGGGTGAATTTGAATAGCTGCTGCCTGACCTCTGCTGGGGGAGGCCTCTATTTAAGGAAGCACCTTGCCAGAGGCAGAGGAGACCCAGCTGAGCTCTGAGCAGGAGAGAGAGCTGCTAGAGGGGTGAGTGGTTTTTTTTACTTGCTTTCAGCTGAGAGGATTCAGCTGAGGCTATTGTGTGGGAAAACTGTGTTTAGCAGTGTGTGGAAGCACTTAGAGTGGTTGCAAAGTCCTGGCTGATTGAGAGAGGAAGGGGCATTGTTTGACTGGGATTGACTGTAATTGAGAGGAAGTGGAAGGGGCATTGTTTTGCCTGTGATTGAGTGCCTGGGTGAATTTGAATAGCTGCTGCCTGACCTCTGCTGGGGGAGGCCTCTATTTAAGGAAGCACCTTGCCAGAGGCAGAGGAGACCCAGCTGAGCTCTGAGCAGGAGCAGGAGAGAGAGCTGCTAGAGGGGTGAGTGTTTTTTTTTACTTGCTTTCAGCTGAGAGGATTCAGCTGAG